CCGCTTTAAGTTGTGTGGACTTCAATTCCCAGAATTCCCTAGCCAGCATGGCTGGCTGGGGAATTCTTGGAGTTGAAGTCCACACAGCTTAAAGGGGCCAAGGTTGAGAAACACTGCCCTACAGAAATAAGTCCCAGAGAGGAAATCGGCAGTGGAAGGGGGGAAACCACCCAAATGTTTGTGGAAAAGCAGGGCTAAGATACTAAGGAAACGGTGCCCAAAAGGCACCCTAACCTTGGCAGCGCCCACCCATCCAGGAGCAGCGCAACCGAAGCTGCGCGGAAGCAGAAGTCTTCAAAAATCTCTTTCCTGCTCGTAAACCGAATTCCAAGACTTCTCATTCAAGGGACCCGGTTTACAAACCGTTGGAAAAGGAGTTGCTCGGCGGCCTGGCACACCCCAGTTCTCCCTGCCTCCCCTGCAGGACAAAATGAATGCCAAGGCTGGAAGCCAGGGCAGGTCGGATAGGTTACGTCAGCCTTATCCTGGAAGGCGCTAGCCTAGGGTGAGCCAAAGGTGTTCTCAGGTGACCAGAGGGAATAGCTGTTCTCTTCTTTCAGCCCCTCCTTCCTTCCTCGGTCCAATTCTTACATCATGAGCCTTGTGGCTAGAGGCCTTTGTTTCAGCTTAATTTTGCTCTATGTCCAATTCCAAAATGGGGGGGGGGGAGCTGAGAACCAGTTTCTCAAAGGGTAGTAAACAATCTGATTGCAGAGATTCTTTGGCCAACTGTCTTTTTTTGGAGAAATTGTGGGGGGCAGAGAATATTTCCAGTGTTCTTAGACTGGGTGGGTGGGTGCAAAGTCTGAAGTTACCTTGGATTTCCCACCAGACAGCTTCTCGGGGAGCTGCAGACAGAGAGGAGCATCTACACCATCTTCCAGTCCCCAATTCATAAGATCAGGCTGTGGGAATTTCTCCAACATTTCTCCTAGGCTTCCCCATCAACGTGGAGGTGAAGGATTGTGGGAGGGAGGCAGAAGAAAGGGCTAATTTTGCCTTTTAGACCAGTGTTTCTCAACCTCGGTGACCTGAAGATGGGTGGACTTCAATTCCCAGAATTCCCCAGCCAGCTATGAATTCTGGGAGTTGAAGTCCACCCATCTTCAAGTCACCAAGATTGAGAAACATTGCTTTGGACCGGCGTTTCTCAGACTTGGCAACTTTAAGATGTGTTAATTGAGAAAAATGGAAAGAAAAGGATTGCAAAAAAAGGGAAACTTTGAGGAATCACTCCAAGCAAGGCTGATCTTCTAATGCAGGGGGGAAAAAACGGGAAAGATCCATGCTAAAGTTTTGCCTTGCAAGGAAGCGGAAACATTCAAGGGACGGAGAAAGGCAAACTCCCCGGGGCCGAGAGGCACAGTGTCTTTTTATGCAGGTCAATTCCCACAGCCTTTCCAACTTTCCAACCCCCTCTCCCTCCCCAGCGTCTCCAAAGGGGCTGCACCACCGACCACCCGCTGCCCTCCATTGTCCCTTCGCCAGACAACACTACACGTCTTTGTTTCTCTCCCAAAGCCGGGGAGGCCCCCTCTGCGGTTTTGCAAAGAAGGCCCCGGCTGCAAAGTGCCACCTCCTCCAGCTAAGAAAAGCAAGCCTGCCTTGTCCTTTGAACATCATGAAAATACTGCACAGGCTGAGTGCTCAACCCCCCTCCCCAAACTAGGGCAGGGCTGCCCACCAAATTGGCCTGCTGTTGAGTTATCAGCCTTCCCTGACCAAAACAGCGGCGTTTCCAATCCTAGTGCTGAAAAGGGGCACATTCTGCAAGTCTAGATGTATCGGGACTTCCACTCCCAGAATCCCTAGTGCTTGGCTGGCTGAATGGACTACAACTCCCAGAATCCCCTGGGTTTGGCCAGGTGGACCAGGATGGCACTCTCAGGTGACCTAGGAAGGGGAGAAAGAAGGCCAGGAGACACTGGAGGGTTGGGTAATGCAAGTCATAGGAAGCCATGGTTTGCTTAATGGTGGTTTACTGAACAAGCCTTAGTGGGCTGGGTTTGTGCAACATGCTAATTGAAAGCCTCATGTAGAGATTAGCGTGTTATGCGATTCCAGTCCAACTCTCCAACTTAAATGTGCGGAATCACAATTCCCAGAATGAATTAATAATTATTAATTGGTTTTTATTCTTATTTTTATTGTAAACTGCCCAGAGTCGCTCTCTGAAAGAGGTGGGCGACCTCTGTGAAATAGAATATGAAATAGAAATAAGCAAATAAATAAAATTCCCTTGCCTTTTTCCTTCTAATTCTCCTGCATTTGCTTTCGAGGCTGCAAGCCTCTAGTCCATAAGGCTGCTGAGTTAGGCTCTCCTGCGCGGAATCCTTGGCAAATTCTCCAAAGACAGACCCGTTGCTAACTTTATAGATCTGCCCCAGATATTTTGTGGCTAGAAATGGGACAGTTTTCAAGTTTCTCCCCCCCAATGCATGCAGGAGGGCCCAACTCTGTGGGTTCCCCAACGGCAAATGGAAATGCTTCCATTTCACACGGTTGCAATAAGATAAGATGCTGGGGGCATCTCTTTGGCTGGG